TCTGAAATAGGCTCCAGGCTCTGAGCTGGCAGTCAGCACAGAGCCCGACACGGGGCTCGAACCCACGAACCGTGAGATCATGACCTAAGTGAAAGTCGGACGCTTAACCAACTAAGCCACTCAGGCACCCCTGATTTGGACCAAGTCTTAAACTGTCTTCCTCTCAGATATGAACATTCATTTTCTCTAAATGTCTTGAAATTTGGGGCGCCTGCGTGGCTCAGTGGGTTAAGCGTCCAACTGCAGCTCAAGTCATGATCTCATGGTCCATGAGTTCAAGCCCTGCATCCAGCTCTGCTCTGACAGCTTGGAGCCTGGAGCCTGCTTCGGATTCTGTGTCTCCATCTCTCTCTGCCCCTCCCCTGCTCACACTCACTCTCTCTCAAAAATAAACATTAAAAAAATTTTTAATCAAACATTTAAAAATAAATAAAAAATAAATGTCTTGAAATTAGCCTTCCTAAAGTATAATGTTCAACTTAACCCAATCTAAACTTTCAATGTACTTAAGATTCTGTATAATTTATCATAGTTCTGAATTACATAATCTTCTATATTTTACAGTGTTTCAAATACTATCTTGCCCCCTTAATTATAGTCGTGTGCATTTAAGGGCAAGGGCTCTGTTTTAGACATTTATGGGCCTTTGGTACATGGCACTGTTCTAGACACAAAATGAATACAACCAACAAACTGACAGTGTTTTACCTTGAACCCCTCAGACTTTAGTTACATCATGGAACTATGAAACCAAATAAAGGAAACCTCATTTAAAACTGAGCTGAGGCCAGAAGGGGGAGCTCTCATGGTGTACCACTTGCTGCAGCCCTTTGAAGACTCAACAGGGAGAAGCCTGTGCCTCACCACCCTAGGTGAAGGAAGATTCTTCTCCTTGCCCAGCAACAGCCCAGCCAATGAGAGACTGTCACAACTCAGCCAATGAAAAGCCACTACACTTTGGGCCCCCAGGTTAATGGATTTATTGTTTATAACAGCCCTTCCCAATTCCCCTCTTTCCTCTATACAAGAGTGTTCCTGTTTTCTGGACTTGCCTATAGTTCACCATAGCTTGCTTGTCCCAAGCTGCAATTGCTCTCCCACTCCTGAATAAACCCACTTTGCTGGCAAAATAACTGGCTGTTTTATTTTCAAGGTTGACAAGGTCACAGAAACTCAGAGTTGGGAAAGACCCCAGAACTTGTCCTGTAGTCCAACTCCCCCACCATGGCAAGAATTCCCTATAGATGGCCATCCAGCCTCTGAACACTCCCGGGGCTGGAGAGGTCACCAGGCTACAGACAGTTTATTATACTACAGGATGGCTCTCTCTACCCATCTGCCACCGTTTATGAGAGGACAATTTGCAGGATTTGCCCTCTGTCAACCTTGTACCCACCCCACTGTAAACTGAAGTCCCAAGGTCAAGGTGCCTCTCCAAATCCTGCACAATCTGACCCAACCTCACTTACCTGCTTGGAACCTTAGGCAAATTATGTTACCTGAAGTCTCAGGTTCTTCATCTGTAAACAGGGTAATTATTCTAACCTCACAGGTTGTTGTGGAGATTAAATAAAATAATGTGTGTAAACACTGTCTGGCCTATAGCCAGTACTCAGTAAATAAGAGCTAGTGTGACTGGGGGGTAATAGGAGATGCTGTTGTCCTGACTGGAATAAGGCAATCTAGCCAGATAAGGCACCATGGTTGAGATAAACCTGAAACGTCTGACTTCGGCTCAGGTCATGATCTCACGGTTCTGTGAGTTCGAGCCCCATGTCAGGGTCAGTGCTGACAGCTCAGAGCCTGGAGCTTCCTTCAGCTTCTGTGTCTCCCCCTCTCTTTGCCCGCCCAGGCTCATGCTCTGGTCTCTCTCTGTCTCTCTGTCTCTCAATAATAAATTTAAAAAAAAAAAAAAAGATAAACCTGGAGCAGTGGTTTTACGGAAGAAATGAGGGAGTTCAGAGAAGAATAAGACAGCACTTGGGAAAGAGCATTGGATAGGAAAATGGAGTTTTCAGCTGAACTGGAAAGCATAAATTAAAATGCTAGCACGCAGTGGGTGAGGGGGAGGGTAAGCAGGACCACCTAGTTAAATGCACAGTCTGATTCAGAAGGGAAATGGGAGTCAGTCTAGGACGCAAAGTAGAATCACGGGTCACAGCAGCAGAACTCAAGAAAGAGAATCCCCTTGCCATGCGAAGGGGAGAATGGAAGCGAAACACAGCCCAGGAGACACGCACTGGTTAAGTTGTGGGGGACTAATCTTAGCCATTTGGGCTCTCTTGGATCTACTATTTATTTTTTTTAGCAGCTTTTGTTGTGCTTGGTCCTATTCTGGGCTACCAGCTGGCATATGTAGCCGCCATCAAGACTGCCGGTCTATAGAACCCCAACACTGCCTATTCTAATCAGCTGTTTCAAAGCTGTAATGGGCCCAAACCCTAATAACCAACCTTCATTCATCATTCTTTCACTCACGTATTCATGTATTCATGAATACATGAATATCCATCAAACAGTCACACCAACCACTGATCTGTCTAGGCTCTGGAATATGCCTTAGAAATTAAATAAAAGTAGCCATGGCCTTCACAAGGTTTACAGACCTCTGGGATAAACAGATTCACAAATAACTCTTACACTGGACAGATTCTAAGTACCACAAGAGAGGAACGAACAAAAATCTATGCCTGGCATTGAACACTGGGAGCACAGCAGGCTGTATTTGGCCAGCAAATGTTTTGTTTGGCTCACATGGGGGTTTTATTTCAGTTTTTTTGGGTTACTTGCCAACACTTATATATTAGGGCATTTCACATAAAAATCCGTAGCTTCTGACAAAAACAGGAAGATCTGAGCACTCTAGGCCAGATTCCTGCAAGGGAGTAACTGGCAGGAGCCGAGCAGTAGCTGCCCCTTTGCGGCAGAGCACGAGATCTCTAGCTTGCCACACTCCTCGCCATTCCCTCTTACTCTCTGACCTCAGAGCCACGTGCTCAGCTGCTAGTTTTCAGCAGCTTTAGAAAAGCGTTAGGAAAAAAAGTAAAAAGAATTTCTTAAGCTCAATTTTCTATTAAAAGTAGAAGTGAGGGGTGCCTGGGTGGCATAGTCGGTTAAGCGTCTGACTTCAGCTCAGGTCATGATCTCACAGTTCGTGGGTTCGAGCACCATGAGGCTCTGTGTTAACAGCTAGCTCAGAGCCTGGAGCCTGCTTCAGATTCTGTCTCCCTCTCTCTCCGACCCTCCCCTGCTCACGCTCGCTCTCTCTCTCTCAAAAATAAATAAAAACATTAAAAAAAAAAAAGTAGATGTGAAAGATCCACTGCTAAGGGTGTATGTTTCAAGAGAAATGGGCTGTAGAAAAGAACACTCCTGGAAAGACGGACACTTCTGTGCGTTCAAGACCCACGCAGATGTCTCCCCTTGTAAGGCCTGCCCGACTCCGCAGGTATGTGAGTTTGCAGCCTCTGTAATGCGAGGAAGAATTCATGTAGGAGCAAACAGCACCGGCTCTGGAGTGAGGAGAAAAGCCGGCCCCACCACTTCTTCACTGTGTGACCTTAGCAAACTAATTACCCTCTCTGTGCTTCAGTTTCCTTTTATGTGAAGCGGAGGTAATGACAGCACCTGCGTCAGAGGGCTGCTGTGAAGTGACAGTGAGATACAAAGGACATGATTCTCGGCCAGCGCCCGGCACACAGGAACCATTAGCTACATGTAGGAGAGAGAGGACCCATCTCTGAAGGGAGCCCTATAGAACGCTTAGAATTTCAGCGTGAGGGCACGAGAAAAGGATTTCTCCACCCAGGACGGACTTTGCAAGGACAGAGAGGGGGTGGCAGAAGTCCTGTTCCAGGGGCCCAGACCAACGCCGCACAACGCAGCTGAAAAGATCATCCGGCAAGGTTTTTAAGGTCAGGCGGAGAGAGCTCTGCAGTAAGGCAGTACTTCCCCAAGTGTTTCATCCTATGATGGAAATCGAGGCTCAACATGGACTAGAACATTCACATCCACTCCTCAGGCGAGAAAGCCATTCTCCCGTGATCCTCTCAGGCCTTCTGATGAAGCACAGGGGAAAGCGTTGGTGCGACCGTTCGTCTCCAGCACCTCTGACCGCACCGGACACCCCCCAGGTCTCCAGGCTGTACACCCGAGGCTTACAGGCTTCCTAGCGACAGCATCCAGCGACAACTTAGCCCTCACTGCTTTGCTTCTCTCTGGGTTACGTTGCACAGGTATCTCATAGCAAGTGGTACTGATTTTCAAATACGGAGCAAGCGTCTCCTTGTAAAATCGTATGTGAGTGAATAAAAGTGAGACCATTTCAGGAAAACCGCCAAGGAAACAAGAGAATCGGTAATACGTGGAAGTGGCAAAATAAAAACTGTGGCGTTTGAGAAACACTGTCGTGGGTGAATGATGAACCCGGGATGGAGGTGGACAGGGCCAGACTGTGATTCTGCGGAAAACCGCCTCGACGGGCCACTACCTCACGCGTGGTACCTCCCCCTTGCTCGCGCGCCAGGCCTCAGTCTCTCCATCCGCAAAGGGCTGGGAGGGCGACCCGGCAGTCGCTCAGACCCAGGGTTCAGGGCCCTCAGCCCAGGCCGCAGGCCCGTTGCCCTTGGGAACCACGGGAGCTCCCGCAACGGTTCCCGCGTCCCCGCCAGGGCTCGGCCTCCCGCTCCTCCCGGACCGCCCGGCTCCTCACCAAAGCTCCGCTTTATCCCTCCACGTCAACACGGCCCTCATCGCGGTTTCCCTCACGCCTCAGGCCCCTCCTCCCATCTCAGGGAGGGGCTCTAGTCCCCTAACGGCTTTCGTTACTGCGCTGCCCCTGGCAACACACATGCGCAGTGAGCCTCGAGCGCGCGGCTGAGTTCCAAGTGCGCAGGTCTAAAAGGAAAGAAGCAAAAGCAAGGAAGGAACGGAGCCCAGAAGGAGTCTGCGCAGCGCGACTGGTCCCAACGCGCAGAGGGCGGTACGTCTTCTTCTACGAAGGATTTGATTGGCTGAGCCGTGGAAATGGCGGCTGTGGCTGAGAGGGAGAAGAGAAAGCCGCGGTGGGGTCTGACAGACGTTCACGATCTCGGGCTTTGGTTTCCTCCTTGCGCTCCGAGCTGAAGAAGTTTTCACATCTTATTCTGCTGCGCTCCTTGGCTGTCGCACCCTCTCGGCCCGTTGCTGCCGCCGGAGACCACTTGAAGGGCACGGCTAGGATGGAGAGTCCGGGCCTGGGGGACTGCCGAGCTGTCCCCTCGGTCACCTCCAGTGAGCGCTTAGCCCCAGACTGGCCTTGTGACCTCCGGCAAGTCATTGTCCCCTTTCAGGACTCATTTTCGCCACCTATAAAATGGGAGTGGGGTGGAGTGAGTAGGATCGACAGGGATCGAGACCCACAGGGTTAGTTTACTCGGCGCAGTGGCTGTAGCCACTTTCAGTGGAGCCAACCTTTCAGTGGCTCAGCCCTGGAGTACTCCTTACTTCGTTACCCGAAATGACAAGGGAGCTGGAAGGAGCAGGGAGGTTTTGTGCAAGGCGAGCAGGGGGAGATCTGCTGGGTTGCAGGGTCCTAGGGAGACCTTGTAGGAGATGTCATGTTAAGCAGCCAACGGTGTCTCCAAAATGGGTTCTATAGGAAGTTACAGACGAAGCCACAGTCTTGTTTCGAGTACGGTGCTTGTATATGTGAGATACGGGGTTAGGATGATTTATCTACTTTTTTCTTCAAAATTTAATCCCCAGAACTGCCTTTAAAGGATTACCTCCTTTTCACAGGTGAAGAAAGGAGACTTGGAGAGCTTAAGTAACACTTGGTCTTGGACACATAGCTAATAAATGGCAGAGCTGTGATTTGAACCCATTCCGTTGACTTTAAAGTTTGTGCTGTTTTCACCAGGCTTCAATTTCCTTATTCCTAAAGTGTGAACTATGTAATTTCTTAAGACTCACCCAACCCCCTAAAATTATTAACCCCAAAGTACTTCAGAAGAGCTGGATTCTAATTCTAGTTACTAGCTCTTGCTTAGTTTCCCTATTTGTAGAAAAGAATCTGGGTCAGATATCTCTATAGATTGTACAAGACGTTTCCAATCCCTTTTAACCCATGTTGGAGGACAGGGAGAGAATCACATAGCATCATATACATAGATAATCACAGTCCATCCTGATTTTAATCTCTCTGATAGTCTAAATAGTCCATATGGTTCCTGCTCTGTCAAGGACTGAAGTTGAATAAGCAGAGGAGAATAAATTTTAAGTAAGCTAATCACTTGTACTGTGTTTTTTTTCAGTGAGGAAGATGTTTCTCTGGGATCCGAAAGAGTGAAAGAAGATGAAAAGCAAATGGTGATAAAAAGCAGCAGTGAGTGTAATCCCCTGCTGCAAGAATCCATTGCTTCTGATCATGTTGGCAGTGCTACAGCGACAGAATGCCATAAGTCTGTCCCATGCGGCTGGGAAAGAGTTGTGAAGCAAAGGTTGTCAGGGAAAACAGCAGGAAGATATGATATATATTTTATCAGGTGAGTAGACAGGGTGGTACAGATAGCACAGCCAAATCATTTTATCTAGACAGGTAGCAGGAAAGCATAACACGAATCTTGGCTTTTTTCTATTTTTATCATATAACCATTATGGATTCTATTTGAGTGTCACAGGTTAGTTATATCAAGTGATCTGGGAACAATCATACTACATACTTCTACTTCATACTTCTTCAAAGGGATGCCCTTAAATTTGTAAATTTGTAAATATTTATAAAATTATTTTATACTATCATAGAGAAGACTATTTAAAAGTACCACCTTATCACTTTTTAAATTTTAAATGACAAATACCCATGGCAGAGAAAGAGAGAGTATGTGCAAGTGGGGGAGGGGTAGAGGGAAAGAGAATCTTAAACCTGCTCTCCACATCCAGCATGAGGCTTGATCATGACCTGAGCCAAAGTTAAGAGTTGGACACTTAACCAACTGAGCCACCCAGGCATCCCACACTTTTAAAATTTTAGATGACAAAAACTCACGGCGACGTTTGGAAATTATTAATTAAAAATCCGAAATGTGGTCCAATTCTTTTTAAAAGTCACTTTTATTTACTACAAATAAGTTTTCTTTAATATCATTTTCTAGCCCACAAGGACTGAAGTTTAGATCCAAAAGTTCACTTGCTAAATATCTTCACAAAAATGGAGAGACTTCTCTTACACCAGAAGATTTTGATTTTACTGTACCTCCTAAAAGGGGCATCACGTCCAGACATAAAGATTACAACATAGCACCTTTGACATCCCAAATGCATAATGAAGGGAACAGTTCAAACCGGAACCTCAGGACACGAAGCCGGGGGAAAAAAGGTGTCTTTCCCCTGCCAAGTGGTACTTCAGAATTGCAAAACAGCACAGGACCATCTCACTTTAAAGAAGATGAGGGTGTTAATGATGTTGACCCCAGAAAGGTTAGCAAGTCCAAAGGAAAGGTGATGATTTTAAAAGGAATTCAAATTAAGAAAACTAAAATAGGGTGCCAGAAGGGTCTTCCCAAGTCTGCTCAAAGTAACAAGAAAAGAGAATCTGAATATAATAAGGCAGATGCTGAAAGTGAACCTGTTGAGCAAGGAAGTCAGCTTGATAGAATTTTCTCCATTTCGGATGCCGGAGCAAGCAACAAGACCCTCAGTGTGACCAATGAAGAAAAGAGACTTATGAAAGAAACATCACTGAGTTCGGGATCACACTTGTGTTTTGAACAAATACCTTCTGGCATCATAAACAAACTGCGTTCAACCGAAGAAGCAGAACAGAGCAACAAGTGTGAGGAAACCTTTTTAGAATCTGAGGAAATAAGAACAAAAGTAGAAGCCGGGGAGAGGAAGGAACATTTGCATACTGACGGCTCTGAAATGGATGACAACTGCTCACAGATGGAGAAAGACTCTAGTTCTGTGAAAATATGTCAAGGTATTGAGAGCACTAAAGCTACTAGTAAACATGTGATGAGTTTATAGTCCCAGAGGATATGCCTGTACCCAGTTAGGATGTGGGAGTAGAATGAAGAAATAGGGCCAAATATCAGATATGTCCTACCATTTGATCCTAGTACCTCCGTTAACCACTCTTCAAACCTATGGCTTAGAGGGAATCAGCTGGCTACTGCCTTGATACCCCCTGCAAAGGAGAAGTGTGCAATGAGCAGCTGCTACCATCTCTCCCTGGTGTGACAGCTGGGACTCTCCTCAACATTTCTTTCCCTGCTTCCCATCTTCTTCCTAGCTAGTAATATTATACAACTTTCAGGAAAATAAAAAGGCTCCACTTGTGAAAAGCCTTGGGGAAGAATCTTGTTATGCATAAACTGGTTGCGAATAGTCATTGTCTACTCTTTTGCACCCCTTCTGTCACTTACTACTGATGTGTGACTTCCAATTTCAGTTTGTACATATCATAGTCATTTTTATCTTCTATTATAATGTAATGCTTCTCTAAAATGCTTTAGAGCTCTAAATAATTCAGAACTGTAATCACATGGTTCATCTATTATTTGTAATATGCTCTTAATACAGAGTTCAGAGCTTAGTAGTTTTGCCTTTATAATACCTCAGTGAATAAGAAATAAGAAGACCTTTTGAGTAGCCCTGTATTATATATTCATTCCACCATTATGGTATAATGAATAACTCCTTTAAAGAAGAAGAAGAGTTTTACTTAAAGTCCTATGGGGAGACAGCCTGGACACATTGGTGGAACAAATTAGATTCGATTCCTGTTCTCAGCCCTACTCATGATTTTATTTCATTGCCGTGCCTAGAATTCCTTTACCTTTAATAGAAGATGAACCATGTATACCTAGGGACTGCTTAGGAATTCAAGCCTGTCCTTTAAAGACTAAGCTTCTTAGAGACTTAAGGTTTATGTAGCTTTATTGCTAGTATAATGGGCAAATAAAATATGAAAAACATCCTTTTGTGACCCAAGTGGAAGTATTCCTATTCATAAAGAAGTCTAGTTCTCAACAAGAGGTGAAGTAGCCTTAGTTTAAGAGGTGTCCAGTGGAATAGTATAGACTTTCCCATTGGCTTAGTTGGAAATTGCCAAGTATACTAAGCTTCAGTCTCCTAGTAATAAAAGAGGCTAGTTAATAATGATTTATAAGAACCCACAGAAGAACTGTAACTAATAAGAGCAGTTTCCTTTGTTCTCTTTTTTTTACTTTCTACTAGGCTTTGCCTGTTCAAAATAGAATAGCAAAAGACAGCTATTTTTTTTTTTTAATGTTTTTATCTATTTCTAGGAGAGAGAGAGAGACAGCGTGAGCAGGGGAGGGTCAGAGAGAGAGGGAGTGACAGACTCTGAAATAGGCTCCAGGCTCCGAGCTGGCAGTCAGCACAGAGCCCGACACGGGGCTCGAACCCACGAACCGTGAGATCATGACCTAAGTGAAAGTCGGACGCCTAACCGACTAAGCCACCCAGGCGCCCCAAAAGACAGCTATTTATCTGGAGAGCTGGATACCTGTCCCAATCTACAGTCAATCTCACTTTCATTTTGGGATGGCTGTTTAAGTTCTTTTTTTTTTTTTTTAACTTTTTTATTAAGTAATCTCTATGTCCAGGGCTCCTGGGTGGCTCAGTCAGTTAAGTGTCCAACTTCGGCCCAGGTTATGATCTCATGGTTCATCGCTTTGAGCCCCATGTGGGCTGGGCTCTGTGCTGTCAGCCTCCTAGAGCCTGGAGCCTGCTCTTGATTCTATGTCTCCCACTCTGCCCCTCCCCCGCTTGCTCTCTCTCTCTCTCTCTCTCTCTCTTTTTCAAAAATAAATATTTTTAAAAAAGGAATCTCTATGGCCAACATGAGGCTCAAAAACTCATGACCCTGAGATCAAGAGTCTCATGCTCCTCCGACTGAGCCACCCAGACACCCCCAGGATGGTTGTTTCATTTCTAAGCCTTAGTTTGTTTATCTATAAAATGGAGGTAATAATCCTCACCATTCTTGTGTTTCACATCAAGAGTATTACAGAGTAAAAGGAGAAGTGAAAAAGATGGCTTCATGCTATACAAATATAAGGTATTATTAACTGACATTCAAATTTAGAGGGTAATTTTATGGAGAGTATTCAATGTGATAATTTTAGAAACTTGGGAAGCCCAATAATGCTGGTCAAATGGTGTTTCTTAAATTAACTGAGCTTCCCCATAGACAGTGCTCGGTATTCCAAGGTCCAAATCAGGTTTTTCGTTCTGTTTTGTCTAGGTCCTTTATTTTTTAAGTGTAGAGTGTTCACTGCAGAAATTTTAGAAAATATAGCAAATTAAAGGAGAAAAGAACAATTAGCAACAAGCATTATACTGGTCTGGCTTATTACATTCTAATCTTTTTTTTTTCTTTTTTTATTAAATTGGGATCATATGTGGAATATTGCTTTTTTACTTAAAAGTTAAGAACATGGGGGAAGATATTCATGATATAGTCTCAAAATGTTTTAATGACCACATTGTACAAATATGACCTAATTTAAAATATTCCATATTCTAATTTGTCAGTACTATGAACTCTGAGCATAAATCTTAGAGTACTAGTGTAACAGAGTGGTTAAAGGTATGGACTTAGGAGCCAGACTGCCTGGATTTGAATTTCAGCTCTGTCATTAGCTGTGTGACCCTGGGCAGGTTACTTAGTTTCTCGGTACCTCAGTTCCCATATCTGTAAGTTAAAAGTAAATAGTACCTAGCTTATAGGTCTGTAATATTAAATTGGTTAATTTTTGTAAAGTGCTTAGAACAGTACCTGGCACGTACTAAATGCTTTATAATAGTAGTGCGTTATTGTTATTTGTACCCCTGAGTATTTCTTTAGCCTAAGCCATAGCTTCTATAAACAGTGTTCACCATTCCTTTTCAGAAGATACCATGCCGCGGACACAAGTAGAAAAAAGGAAAACAAGCCTATATTTTTCCAGCAAATATAACAAAGAAGGTATCCCTTTCCCAATTAGAAAATCCAATTTTAAATCTGTTTCAGATGTTGCTCTCTGATGCAGTGTGTTTGTTTAGCCCTTAGCCCCCCACGACGCAAAGCCTTTAAGAAGTGGACACCTCCTCGGTCACCTTTTAACCTCGTCCAAGAAACACTTTTCCACGACCCATGGAAGCTCCTCATTGCTACTATATTTCTCAATAGGACCTCAGGTTTGTGGATTATTTTAATCTTAGAAACAATGCAATGAGGAGAAAGAACACTGGATTGATTAGGAGGCCTGGGTTCAAGTTTTAACTTTGAGCCTGTATGACCTCAGGGAAGGACTTCCCCTGTCAGCCCTGCAACTCTTCACCTATGAGGAGGTTAGACTAGATGACAGCCAAAGCCTTTTTAGCACTAAGGAACAGATTGTCAGTTATTTTCTACTTCCAAACTAGTTTTGGTCATAGTGAAAATTAGTTACTTAACACTCGTCCAACCTGTCATGTGTGAAAGCATTTCTTTTTCATTGAATGCTTTCTCTAATGTCATTTACACTTGTGTTCTGTATGCTTTTATACTAGTTATCTGATGACTGGATTATTTGAAAACTAATATCATGCAAGGCTGGGGATCCGTCTGATTTAGACTATGAGCCAAATAGTCAAAAGTGTTGGTTTTTTTTTTTTTTTTTTTAATTTTTTATTTATTTCTAGGAGAGAGAGAGAGAGACAGCGTGAGCAGGGGAGGGTCAGAGAGAGAGGGAGTCACAGACTGAAATTTTTTTTTTTTTTTTTTTAATTTTTTATTTATTTCTAGGAGAGAGAGAGAGAGACAGCGTGAGCAGGGGAGGGTCAGAGAGAGAGGGAGTCACAGACTGAAACAGGCTCCAGGCTCTGAGCTGGCAGCACAGAGCCTGATGCGGGGCTCGAACCCACAAACCGCGAGATCATGACCTAAGCGAAAGTTGGACGCCCAACCGACTAAGCCACCCAGGCGCCCCAATAGTGTTGGTTTTTGACTCTGAAGGTGGTTGCCAGTTCAAGTAATGGCTTCTCAGGGATTTGAAAAGAAAAAGAAAAAACAAAAAAACCTCTAAATGAAATTTCTAGAGAGGAAGTACCTGAACTTAAAAACAACCCATTGGGAGTCTTGTGATCACAGTTACTTTTATTTCCCAGGTAAAATGGCAATCCCTGTGCTCTGGGAGTTTCTAGAGAAGTACCCTTCAGCTGAGGTAGCAAGAACCGCAGACTGGAGAGATGTGTCAGAACTTCTTAAACCTCTTGGTCTCTATGATCTTCGAGCAAAAACCATTATCAAGTTCTCAGGTACTTTGCCATATGCCCAAAGGAAAGAACGTAAACTGTGCCTATTTAAGAGAGCCCAACCTTAAACTTTAATGTTCTCAGATGCTGTATTAATAGAGGTCATTCAGCTCAAGGGCTAAAAGCATATAAAGTGGGAGCACAGTCTCCCACTGACCCAAGCAATAAATCTTTGCCCAACACTGGAGCAGGCCGTCTGGGCAAGATGAAAAAGTCAGCGAAGCAGAAGACGCCATTGACCTCAAGGACTTTACCATTGTCTCGTTAGCACAGCACAAAGTAACAATGGCTTGTAAGTGGCAGGTGAGGGGTTCAGACAGGGGCATTGTGGGAATTCAGAAGAAAGAGCCACTAGAACTGGGGTTGTTAGGAGAGCCTCTTTGCTGTCCCTTCCTGCCATTCTCCCCATCCAGCTCTGCATCACCACATATTTGAGGAAAGTATCTTTCTAGAAGCTGACTGATAAGTGAGGCTTTATCTTTTCAGATGAATATCTGACAAAGCAGTGGAGGTACCCGATCGAGCTCCATGGGATTGGCAAATATGGCAACGACTCTTACCGAATTTTTTGCGTCAATGAGTGGAAGCAGGTGAGGCCCACCCCCAGCCATAACATCTCCAGCACATTTTGTGTCTGAGGCGAAATAAGGCCACCCAATAGCCAAAACTATTTCCTGGGCACATGTGCTATCACCATCACAAGCAGTTGTGTCCCAGGCTTGAGGGGCAGTGGTGGCATGGGGCTCTTGGCAGAAGGGAGAGGCTCCATAGACACTCCCACCTCCGTAAAGACTCCTTGGTATGGCCCCTGACTGACCTGCAGCAATTTATCACTTCTGGCCCTGTGAGGTCATTCCCATTCACGTATGGTCTCTAAGCCTGACGTGGTTCTCCTCCTGTCACAGTCACATTAGCCTTCAAAAGTGACACCACTGAAGGAAAGCCGCAGGCTTGGACTTGGCATGTATGCTTATGGGGGTTTCTCCTAGTGGTCCCAGACCGCTTTTGCGGTAACTGGGCCCTACTTCAGCTACCCATTCAAATGAGGATGCCCCGTCCCCAGGTATGCAGCAGGTGTCCTGGCGGCTGGTGGGTACAGCCAGGTGGCGTGGCACACCGCCCTCTTAGTCTGTGACTCACCCTAAAGCATTCAGCCAGAAGATCTGGCCAAGCCCATCCCTGCTCCACCATTTACTGTGATAACTCTCAGGGCCTATAACCTCCTCCTGGAAAATGGCATGTTGATACTTGACTCTTGTTCTCACCACCCCACGTGCTAGGTCATGGTAAAGATCAGTACTGAATTGGAAAGTCCTTTGTGAAGGCTTGCCTTAATGTCAGATAGCGTTTTAAGCATTCATGAATCCAACTAGGTTAAAGGTTATAATTTGCAGGAATGTTATAATAAGGTATTGTTCCCTACTGTACCTTTGAAAGACCCATTTTAAAAATGTATTTCTAACTTCTGACTCCTAATGTGTTGTATTTCTTCCAGGTGCACCCTGAAGACCATAAGTTAAATAAATATCATGACTGGCTTTGGGAAAATCATGAAAAATTAAGTCTGTCCTAAAATTCTTTGAAGTTTTCAAACTCAGTTTTTATACCTTACTTTGCACTTGATTGTTAAGAGCTCCATTAAGCACAGGCATATAGATTTTAATTAGTCCAACTAGAAACATGACGTAGGTTTTCTTAATGTGTGTAACACTGGTAGATCTTTGCCACTGAACGTACTAGAACATGTTTGAGATTTTTTTAAAAAAAGTTATTTGACAAGAAATCTAAAAATGTAAATGACTTTTCCAATAATAAAATGCGATTTTAAGTGGAAAAATAACTTTTGTCAATTCTCAATAATACAAAGCAGATTTCTATCAATCTTGCTTAAGGAAAGATTAGATTTTCTGTTCTCTTTCCATAAAAATGGAATTACACAGTTATGTAAGAAGCAGTCCAAGAGTTTGCAGACAAATATGTGAGAAAAGATATTACAGGGGGTAATAGGCAGCTAATAATAGGCAGTTAATCATATTTTTACTAAAAAATAGATAACAGTGTTACTTTTGTCATCATGGGTTCTTGATAACTGCTGGCTTTTAGGAATTAGAGATTTGACCCCAGCATCCAACTGATAACCTGTGACTGTGTGCCTGCCGCTTCATTTCAGAGTATCAGCTTCTGGCTCATGCACCTGGACCCCACTGTGAAAGCTTTTACGCCTTGTGTCTACGATTTGTGCCATTCTTAATACAGGCATCGTAATGTTGTAGCTCATATACTGAAACATTTCCCTTAGGAAGAACTCACCAAGCAACAACAAAGAAAACCCCAAGTGATTAAGTCTCGATTACCAATTGCCATTTTAAGGTATAATTTGAAAACAAAATTAATTGAATAAATGAAAAATAAATTGTTAGGGAAACTGCCTTTGTTGTAGGGTGGAGTATGCCGCAGGGCTAGTGGTTTGTTTCCACTGTAGTGAGCTAGTTTTTGTTTTGAGAGAGAGGATTTTGACAAGATAATGGGAAAACTGGCCACATCCCTGCCACCCCCAAAACATCAACTTTATGATGTCCCATTACATCTTTATTTAACAAACCTCAAAGTAGCATTCACTAAGTGCAAAGCTGTATGCTGCAGAGGGACACAAAGATGAAGAGGTTCTGTAGAGGGCTGCCTGGCTGGCTCAGTAGAGCATGCGATTCTTGATCGTGAGGTTGTGAGTTTGAGCCCCATTTTGAGTGTAGAGATTACTTAAAATCTGGAGGCACCTGGGTGGCTCAGTCGGTTAAGTGTCTGACTTCAGCTCAGGTCATGATCTCCTGGTTTGTGGGTTCGGGCCCCATGTCAGGCCTTGTGCTGACAGCTCAGAGCCTGGAACCTGCTTCGGATTCTGTGTCTCCCTCTCTCTCCCCTTCTCTGTCCCCACCCTGCTCGCACTGTCTGTCTCTCTCAAAATAAGGAAATAAACTTTAAAAAAAAAATAAAAGTGCTACATTAATGTGATTCATAGGGATGGTCTGAATGACTGCCTCATGTTGAGAGGGTCACAAAGATGATGCAATTTGGTGAAGGTGGTACCTTATGCAGAAAAAGCACTCAAGTGTTTGGTTTTTTTTTAACTTCTTTTACGGAGACAATCCACATAAGATTCATCACTTATGTTTAAAGTATACAATTAAATGGTTTTTAGTATGCTGACAACGTTTTGCAACTGTCCTCACTAAATCTATGACATTTCCAACGCATTCAGAAGCCCCGTGCCTGTTAGCAGTCAAACCCAAAGCCACACACCTCACCTCCAGCCCCTGGCAACTATCAGTCTGCCTTCTGTGCCTATAGATTCGCCTGTTCTGGGCATTTCTTGTAAATAAAACGATATGTGACCTTTTGTGACTGGCTTCTTTCATGGAACATAATGTTTTGAAAGTTCATCTGTGTTGTAGCATGCATCAGTGCCTCTTTTTTGTGACTAATATTCCATTGTGTGGATAGAGCATGTTTTGTTTATCCATTTATCAGCTGATGGACATTTCAAGTGTTTATCATTAACATCGCTTTCACCAGGTTCTCTGTTTCCAAACCGTGGCATCCTGACATAAGGGAACGATGCACAACCAAAACCTGTATTTGGCCAGGACTTTCTAGGGTTTCTGCAATCCCTCTGGAGGGAGCAGGGCCTGTTCTTGGATGAAAATGAAAAATTTTGGAGACAAGCTGAAGATTCTACCGCTTTCAGGAAAACCAGTGATTTATTCCTCCGGATTTGGGGGCCACTGGGCCATACTAAGGAATCCTGTCTTTGACCAAGCCAGGAATTCTGCACCTCTGCGATTGCCTCCGAGGACCCACAAAAGGGGCAGGACGGCCTGGCGGGTGGGAGTGGGAGGGTGCTCCCCGGTACCCGCCCCCTCCCACAGACGGCAGGAGCGTGGCAAATCTCAGCCAATCAGCGCAGGGCGTCTGTAGTCCTGGCAACAGTCGCTTCTAGGCTCCGGCGAGTTGAGTCTTTGCTGCGAAGTTTGGAATTCCTGTTTTTTGGTACCCTGACACGCCAGCGAAAGCAAACACAGACCCACACGCTCTCCAACACCCGCCCCCGACGCTGCGACCATGGACGATTCCTGTGAAATGTCTGAGGCTCTGTACCTGTCGCTGCTCGGTAAATTCCCGGGAAGCAGCGCCGCCTCCGGGAAGCCCCCAGGCCCGTGCTGACGCGTGCAAGTGGGGTGAGGGCAAGGACAGGAGGCCAATATCTCATTGTGCCGTCCTCTCTCTGGGGGAGGGGTTGCCGGGGAGTCCCGGGGCTGGTCGTGCACATTTCTCAGATTTCCATTCCCAGGCTGGAGGAGTGGGCCAAGTTGCCTTGGTCTGAAATCAGAGGTCCAACCCGTGTGCCTGGGAAAGGCATCCAGGGCCCTCTGTCTTGCCCACTGCGCTCCACTTCTCCTCCGGATATTAATGTATTGGGTACTGGAGAAGAAGCATGTTTGGTGATAGCTGGCTGCGGGAAAACCCTGCGACTTCAGAGATGAAGGACAAGCAGATAAACGGATAATACAGAAAAAGAAGGGGTGGGTGCCAGGTCTGGGGGGTGACACCCAAGAGTAAGAGGTCTGCTAAGTGTAAAGAATGGGTGAGAACAATTCTAAGGTTCTGAAAGAGCTCTTTACACTTGGGCTTAAAATTAAGGATACAAGGAGTTCTCTATGCTAAGAGGGGGAGGAAAGGCATTCCAGGCCAATGGAAGCCCATGCAGAGAGGCTCAGAGATACAGTGTCTTCGGGGAACTGCTGGTAGTTTGAGTGTTGCCAGAGATGAGAGGTCAGAAGGGACAAGATCATAAAGATCTTGTGAGATAGGAGATGGAGAAGCCACTGGAAATGACACTATTGGATTGGGAGCAACAGCAAATGCAGAGTGAATTAGCAGACTTGAAGGCTGAGGCCAGAATCACGAGCTCTGGGGCTGTCTGAAACGTCCAGACCAAAGATACTGAGAGGTGACGGAGAGTGGCCAGGCTAGAGGGGACTAGGGGGATTTGAGGACTGACTGAACAGGGAACACGAAAAGAGAAACCAAAGATGATACTCGGGTTGGTAACTAGGGTGACCTAGAGATGGAGGTGCCCTTCACAGAGATCGGGAGCCTACCAGGAGGAACAGATTTGGTGGGAACAGGACATGGAGACCAGTGCAGTCTTAGTTGGTTGAGCCTGAGATCCCTGTAAGCCATCCAAATGGAGATATTTTAGGAGCAACTGTATGTAGAAAATGAGAGCTAATTTCAAGTCATAAATTTATTGGTATGGGTGTCCTCAGCACCTAGAAGGCCACAGAAACATGAGAGTAGAGGAGAGTGTTTGGAAGAAGGAGGAGGAGAAGAGGAAGGAAGGAGGAGGAGAAAGCCCAGGTATGAACCTTCTGAAAGGCACCAATTTTAAGGGATGGCCCAGAAAAGAGGAGCCAAGTAGCAAGTGGCCAGAGAGGTAGGATGGGACTTAGGGCGAGATTTGAATCAGAGCCAAGATAAACAGGATTTCAAGAGAGTTGAATTGTCTCCAGATACCTGAAGAGCTGTCCCAGGAAAGAGGGAAGGAATGTGTTATCTGGAACATCGGTGGGGAGGACTAGGACCAAGGGGTAGAAATTCCAGGGAAATAAAATCTGGGTCAATATAAGGAAGTCTTTTCTAGGAATCAGAATCAGGCACCACAGTGTGAGTAGAGAACTCCCTGTCACCAGAGGTGTATACGAACAGAGGCAAAATCTGCCAGGGGCATTGCAGAAAGAGATCCCTGACCTGGGAAAGCACTGGGGCTAGTTGGCCTCTGAAAGCTGTCCTCACAATCCCTTAGGAACATTTTCACACAGTCTCTGCCCACAACTGTGTGGTGACATCTTTTAACATAAGAGCCCACCTCACTTTTCTATAAATGGACATAGAACCCCAAAGATCACTAGAATGGAAGCTCCCTGGTGCAGGGGGCATGTGACCTTGGATAGGGTAGTCAGGGTGACTTTTAAGGAAGTGACACTTGGGCTGAGAACCATACAGTGAAAAGGACTCAGCCCGCAGAATTCTTGGAGGAATCCCATGCCCTTCAGAGGGCACGGCAAATGCCCAAACCAAGTCAGGATGGAACTAGGAGGGATGGACAAAGAGAAAGCAGGCTCATGCAGTTGGAGGGAAGTGAGCAAGAGAGAGGGGGTGCAGAGAGATGAAGGAGGAGCAGGGAGCAGGGCCCCAGTGAGGGCGGCTGTGGGGGCCATCATAGGAGGGGCTCATTTATTCTAAGGGCACCAAGAAGCCATTTCAATGAAACCATTGAAGGGCTTGAGGGCGGGGGGTTGGAGAGGGATGACCCTTCTGGCTAAGGGAAGATCATGGATTTGGGGTCTCAGGTGGGTACAAGTGACAGCGACAAGACCAGGTAGGAGCATATTTGAGTGTATTCCCAGGGTCAACAGTGTAAAGGTTAAACCCCTTAACCTGGCATTCAAGATGACTCCAGCTTTATTTCCCATTAACTCCTCCTTCACACACAATATACTTCCACCCTGTGGAACTACTTAGTAAACCCCAAATCCTCAAACCCCACCCCTGACCTTTCCCACACTGGCCCCTCCACCCCTTGAAATCTGACCCATTCTTGAAGGCATGTGTCTTCCTTCCTTCATGATGACCTCCCGAGTCCCTCCATCAGCATCATTCCCCCGACTGAGAGCATCTTGTTACCCCTCTGATCACCCACCTTGTTCCATGCCAGCACTCTGTGGTCCGATGTCCAGCCTCGTTTGGATCTGCGTGCACCCGGCTATGCCAAGTACCGGGTGATTCTCAGTAAATGCTGGTTGGATGAATGGCTACATTCTCAGTTGTACCCAGCATCTTGTCCTCAAAGAAACGATAAATGGGTGGCGGAGAAGTGTTCACTTCCGTCCACCTTGATGTATACGTATTGTTTTCTGACCACGAAAGAAAAGCATGGCCATTGTAAGGAGGCTTAACAAATGTGCTGAATGTTCACTTTGTGCCAGGCTGGGCACCAGGGATACGTGGGAATAAGATATAGTCCTTGCCATTGGAAAGTTCACAGGCTGGTGAGAAAGAAAGACCCAGAGAGCATCCTCATTCAGAAAAGCACGGTAAATGCTATGATGGGGGTGAGCATGGGGCTGTGGGAACCCAGAGGGGATGTGAGGGCTTTAAGGGGTGCTGGTGCCTGACCTAAGTCTCCTAAGCATTCCGGAAAGAGGAAACAGCACGGGGGCAGGGCCAGGGGACCGAGGACCCACAGTCAGCTCAGCTTGGATACAAATACAGGGTGAGGCCAGAAAGAACAAGAGAAGGAGCCCTTCAGGCTGGCAGAGGTGGGTGTGCCAGGTGGGGTGAGGTTAAGGAGACTGAATTTTACTCTGGAGGCGATGAAAGGGTTTTAAAGCAGGCGGGAGGGCTTAGAAGGAAAACGATGGTGATAATATTTTTAATAATATTATATCCCTTATGAATTTTAAAACAGTCACATATCTGTTACTCATTTGATCTTCATAACAGCTTCGGGAGGTACTGAGAACAATTAGGGGACAGGCTTTGGTCTTATCAATTAATGGCTAAGAGCCAAGCTCTGGGGCCAGCAAACCAGAGTTCAGGTCCCAGGTCTGCTAATAAACAACCGTGCAACTTCGGGCCTCTCTGGGCCTGAGTGCCCTTCTCTGTAATATGGTATAAT